TTTTCTTTTGAAAAAAGAAGAGTTAGAAGGGATCTGAGTGAGGTGTTTAAGATTGTAAAGGGAATTGATAGTGTTGATGTATCATCTTTTTTTTTTATTTAACAATGAGAATAGTAGGACTAGGGGACACAAATATAAATTTTGGCAAGGTAAGAGTCATCTTCAGCTAAGACAGTTTTATTTTTCTAACAGGATGGTTGGCCTTTGGAATGGTAATGTTAACTGAAAGACTGCCAAATTTTGTGAAGATATACACTCTATATTGAAAGTTAGAATTTTTAAATCTGTAAAGACTCTATAAGACTACAAAAAGGTCATGTGGTCAGTCAAGTTGACCGATCCCGTGTGGAACGAGTTAAGTGTATTTCTTTGCAAGTATTAGTGAAGTATTTAGCCACTCTGTGGATTTAATTTTTAATGCAGTTATTAGTGAAACATTTAGCCACTCTGATCATTTTATGTTGTTTGCAGGCAATAGTGAATTGTTTAGCCACTCAGGTTATTTAATGTTGTTTGCAGGTATCAGTGAAACATTTAGCCACTCAGCTTATTTCACATTGTTTGCAGGTTTTATGAAATGTACAGCCTTTCAGATTATATCATGTTGTTTGTTTCCCTTTTCCCTTGTTTGTACAAGGTCTTCCACTGAAGAACTGAATAAAGTTATTGATGTATAAATTACAAATGTGTGAGCCTCTGATACATCAAAGTAATGCTTTACCCTTCTCAGTTAAAAGAAGAAACATTCAATATTAACTGAAAACATTTTAATATATTCAAAATGAAGAGAGATGATCTTTTTTACTCCCAAAACACACTTGTTTTTATTTCTCGGTGTTTTGTTTATATATTCTTATCATGAACTATCCTAATAAAGGTGGAAGAAAACTGTTTATGGTTAAGAACCAGTTTTACTTGTTTGTGAATCCCAGGATTTGTATATTTGCATCCTGTTGCCACAAAAATGAGCTTTACACTTTAAGACCTTTAATACAAAACAAGATAATTAAAAATTGTTAATTTAAAAAGGGGAATAGGGATCATCAAAAAAGTACAGAAACAAGTTGAATCAAAATGCAAAGGTTATATTTTTAAGCCTATAACTAGGGACTCTAAAAAAAGTAAACAAACTAGGTTAGAAATAATGTATACATTGTTTTCTCAAGCTACAAATCCCAGTTTTGACTCTGTGTCTACGATACTTATCAATTTTAACAAGCAAGTACAAAGGAAGCTGCTCACAACAAAATCACATATATATTTATAGCCACATAAATCAATTTTTAAAAAAAAATAATCAACTCTTTAAATAGGTCATGGACATTCACAGTGTTTCATACACTGAATTGTCTAAGTTTTTGTGCAAAATACCCAGTAAATTTTGATGTAGGATTCTGAAACAAAAGTATGATTAATAACACTAAAACATGCACTCACAGTTTCAGTGATATGTGAAAATCAATAGAATAAATAACCACACCATAGTAGAGAAATCTACTATGATAATTGTCTACTGTTAGAAAACTCTGAAATATTCACAGAAAACTGTGTAGAGACAAAGTAACACAGTGAACTTGAGAAATGATGAATCCTCAATGTGGCAGTTTCCAATTAATGCACTATAAGTTGCACAACTTATTTTCCAATTAATGTGCATTAGTAAAACACCAGATTTTATTAATGGTGAAAATTGAAGGACTTGAGAAATTCTTCAGTGCAAAAATATGAAGGCGCTTGAATCAGTTTTAAAACTACCTATGACCTACTCAATACTATATTCATTACTATTGTCTAGGTTTCAGTAAAATATTCCTAGCCATTTTTTCTGTAGCAGCTTGCAAAACTATACTCAGTAATAATAAGGCTGGAGACACTGTTATCAATATAAACCTTGTTTACTGTCATAAAATGAAGGGTTTTCAACTAGTATAAAACTGAGCTTTTCTGACTAGTATAATAATGGTTAAGTGGCTTCTACATTTCTGAATGCTTGAATGGCTTTGAAGAGCTTATGTTAGTAGTGAAGATGAACTTAGAAAATTTTAGAGGATGGATATCTCAACTTTCAAAAATCAACTTAAAAATGGCCCTACAACTTTTGCAGGAGTTTTTTTAGTAGCTATGTATAGATTTTGGCACACTATACCTAGTCGTTTTTGCTGTATGCTTTGGTGCTTGAATAGCTTCAAAGAGAAACTTGGCTTGTAGCAAATATAAAACTGATAAAATCTTTCCTTTTTGTTCAAGAATCAACATAAAAATATTCCTATGACCTGCACATGAGATTTTTTAGCAGGTTTCTGAAACAAAAATAATATGAAGAACAGATGGATGAATTAACAATCAGAAGATCAACTTTTTGCACTATTATCAATATTTTAGAAGCCTTAGCCAAGGAGATAGAAGTTTTTGAGTGTTGTTTCAAGAACAAGTCTGCTTTTTAAGATGGTTTTTGCCAATATGTTCTATTAGAATTTTTGTGAAATTCCTGGATGATCCCTATTATGAACCACTATCATGGTTCATGATTAGTGGTGGGTATTGTTGACCATTTGTCTTTTCTGTAGTGAGTCTATCAGTTGAAAATTGGGAAAGGCTATGTGCAGGTAGCTCTTTTATAGCATTTCAAAAAAATGTTAAAATATGAACAAAGAAATTTATATGTAGAGTTTCTTTTACCCTTTCCCTCCAGTGGCACAGCAGTATGTCTGCGGATGTACAATGCTATAAACCGGGTTTCGATACCCGTGGTGGGCAGAGCACAAATAGCCCAATTTATAGCTTTGTGCTCAACTTCAAACAAACAAACAATCTTTTACCTTTAATACGTGCTCCTTTGATATATAAATGTACCTGATGAAAATATGGCTTCAAGGCTCCAGGTGGACAGAGCACAAATAGCCAGTTTGTATTTGATCTTAACAACAAAACTAACCCACCAAAGTGTATTTGAAGAATTAAAGGAATTACTCATCAACTAACTAGAACTGACTCTTAACCAGAACCAGTCTTATGTTCCATTGTAATGTAATTCAGATTTTGTTTTCATGAAAATATATAACCAAAATGTTAACAAGTTAGATTTTATTGGAGTAAAGCAGGTCATCCTTATCTCTTTCAGATATGTTCTCTTACCAAAAATGTATATGTAAAATAATATTTTAGTGCATTTAATTAACTGTCACTGGAATTCTTATTTGCATTGTGAAATGTTACTGGGATTCCTATCATAGGATGTAATGTTATCTGGGATTTGTATTGCAGAGGAAAATGTTACTTGTATTTTTAACAAACAAAACTTCTTTCAGAGTACAGTAGTGAAGCATCTGTGGATGATAAGCTGCCTCTTAGCTACACTATTGTTGTAACCACTGGTCCAGAGTCTGTCCTTACGGGTGATATCTCAGAGCTTGAAGAAGTTGATGACAGCCAACAAGGAGAGGACATGAATGGCTTACTTGTAAAAGCATGGGAAAGTAAAGTGTTCCCTGTGATACGACGGAGGTTCCGAAATGAAGCAGAGAGGAAAGATGGCTTGGAGCAGATTCGTGGAGCTTTGCAGTTAGGTAAATTGTATTCTACTTCATTATTTATGTATTTTCTGCATTTATAAATTATGAAAACAATGCTTTTTAACATCACAATTTTTTGTTTTGCAATCTGAATTTTCATGCATGTGCTATTTTGTCTTAATTGATGTTGTGTATGAAGTTCTTTCTTCCTTTTTATGAGATATAATTAGCCTTTCTCATAAAGATGTAGGAAATTTACAGCTGTTCAATAATTGGAATGGGCTTGCACTATTAGAAGTTATATCAACCTCCACATTTTCCAAGACTTGAAAATGACTATATATCTAGTTCTACTCTTTCTTGTCAGATTGTAAATGCAATACAACTTTTTTCTTTTTTTAAACAAAGTATAGAATTATTTCTGAACTCTCAGGTTTGACATTTTTTCACTTTACTGTTTGAATTATGTTTTTTTTTCAATATTTATCGAGCTTTCTGAATGAAGGTTCTCTAATATCATTGCATACGAAAGCTTTAACTCTTAATTTTTTCAGCTTGGAGCATTGTTTTAGTTTCTCTGTCAAAGCTATTGTTTGAAACTTATCTTTCCAAATTAATATTCAAACTTATGGTTTTTTTTCAATCACACATTGTAATTTTTGTATTAAAAGTTTATATTTATTGAAATTGTTTTTGGATTTAACTTTTTAACATACAGCATTAGTGTATTAAAGCCTGTGACATGATTTGAACACAAAAAACATAGTGTAGGTTTATATTCTTTACTATGTATTAAACAAAACAGCAATAAAATTAAAATTTGTGTTATGTTCATCTGGTAATTAAAAAATTATAATCCAGAAAAGCATATTAAAATAACATTTTGAATGTACTTTCAACTATCCAGGGATGACTGACATAGCCCGACAGACTGTGGAATTCTTGTATGAAGAGAATGGAGGAATGCCAAGAGACTTGCATCTTCCTACAGTTGAAGACATCAGAGAAGACCTGACTAAGTTTACCATTGACAGAATACGGAAAGGTGCTGTTGTTGTTGTAAAAAATCCTATTGCCCAAGCTTCTTCTCCCTCCCTCTGTACTCCAGAAGGAGTGGGAATATCATCTGGAGGGAGTATTGGTGGAACATCCATTCCAAAGTTTGCTCTGTCACAAATGCTGAAGACATTTGGTTTGATTGGTCAGGTTTTAGAAGTTGACACGGTTTGTACACAAATGTTTTTTTATGTGCATTTCTCCTAATTAAAGTTTAAAAGAGTTTGTTTTTGTGTAAATCCTGCAAGTAAATATGGATGGGAAGATAGCTATTATAAGAAGAAAAAAAAAAGAGAATAGGAGTGAGGGGCTAGAATTGAGTTAACAATAACACATTTGTTAACAGTACTTTATCATTTAATGTTTTCCCTTCCAAGTAAAAGAATTATTTGTAATTATTTAGTAAAAGAATTATTTGACATTTTACATTATAATAGATTTGCTTCAAATTTTTCTCTGCATGAATATCCTTTTTAGTCATGTAAAGTAAGCTGAGTACTAGAAAAAATCTTAGAAATGTCTTCTTGATGGTTAAAATAAAATTTCAAGAAACTGTGATTTTGGTACTTCAAAACTTGGAGTTTCTCCTAGAGGCAAAAATACTGTGTGACATAATTTTCTATTTTCATCTTTTGTATATGTGAATGCTTTTTGAAGAAATAAAACATCATATCTTTTAAAGTGTGAAGTTAGTTTTAATAATTAACATTTAATTGTTTTTTTTTATGGTCCTGTTAAACTTTATTCAGTGTTGAACCTTATTATTGATTTAGCTGTGCAGAGAAATGCTATTAGAATTCAAAACCCAGATCTCAGTTGACAGAAGTATAGGTTTTCTTGTTAGCCATTGTATTTCTTATCAGTGTTTTGATAATTGGCCATTAAAGATATTTCATAATTGCAGCAAAATGAGCTAGTGCAAGTGGAAACATACCTTAGGAATGAAGGGGTACTTGTAAGATATTGGTATCCACTGGAAATGCTGGAAAGACCACCTCAAGGGGTAAGACAAAGTGCAGTCACCGGATCACAGGTAGTGGACACTCCTACCATACACCACCATAGGTATGGTCAGACATTGTCTATTTTATTTGTAATGTGTACATTTAATTTTGGGGGGGAAAAAGACTAAGAAACAAGTGAGAGTCTTTGAATGTTACATAAATCTGAAACTAACTATTTATGTCTATTATGTTTTGTCACCTGAAGGCTGTATTATAAATGAATAATCAATTATTCTTAATGAAGATGAAGGTGGTTAATAAAACATTTTAGTTACAAGGTTTGAACATATTGGAATAATTTATTCCATCTTCAGAGAAATCTGAAAATTGTGTTACAAAGATGATTATTTACTAAAATTATAATATAATAACATAATCATTAGTTTACTTAATTATTAAGAAGAGCGGTAAATGGACAGATAAAACAATATATATATATATATATATATATATTACACAACAGCTGAACCTATAAAAGGAATGGAGATAATGAGGAGAAAGTTGAGGACTGTGTGTACATAAGCTTGATCTATCCTTTGTGTTTCATCCACTTCTTTTGGCTAACGAATCAGCCAAAAACAAAAATAGATCAGATCCTTGCTGACTGTAATTTCATGTAAAAAGTTTTAGGGGAATTAAGTTAATGGGTAGCAATATTTTTTACTTGTAAATTGAACCCCCGCAGTACAACACAGTATGTGGCATTGTGAGGAAAAGGCATTTCAAAAGTTAAAAGCATTTTCATTAGTTGAATATATTAACAGACATAAAATTTTATTAGACTGTTGTGCAGAAGTAATTTATTGCAGATTTTATAGCCAGTTCATTTTCAAAGAGTATGAAGGAATAAAAAAAAGGTAAAGAAAATTTACCTTGCATAAAATGTATTGTTTGGCCATGTTTTGACAATCATTCTTTTTCCAATTTTCTCTACCTTTTTATTTTCTAATAATTACAAATTTCTTATATCATTTTTTGTACAAGCTTGTGTTTTTTAGGGAACTTGTAAGGATTGAGTCTTTGCTGACTAGGATGTACTGTAGAGCAGCTCTTATGGAACTAATTCATCACTGTAATCCAGAACATAAAAGCAGTGAGTCGCCTCCTCTGTGGAGCACTAGCATGGCAGCAAGTGCTGCTGTTTTACAGGTATATACCTATGGCAGAACTTATTCAACACTGTATTTCTTAATACTTTGATTAGTTGATGCTGTAGAGTTCAGATTAAAAAAATTGGCAGTAAACAATGTCTGGTTTGTGAGTTTGAGACTTTGATTAAATTTTTGAATGATGAAAAATATATGGTAACTGTTTTGTAATATTTCTTTAGGTACAACTACTAATTAATAATATGAAGGTTATCAGGACACACGGTAGTGTGTTGTGCGGCCAAAACAACCTGCAGAACACACTGTGTGTTATTAACAGGAGTGATAGTTTAGCAATTTCCAACTTTCTTTAGCTCAGAATTTGGTAATCCAAACAATTACATATCTTCAATGGATGTACTCTACCAGACCCTTACTTCACATACTAAGTTTCAAGGCAATCCATTAAGAAATATACAAGATATAAAATCTCCAATTTTTCCTTTATTTCTTTGCACCGAAAGTACGGAAACTTTATTTGATAGAAAAAACATACTTGTATGGATTTTTTACATATTTAGTACTCTAATAGATCTTTACAACCTTACAATTAAGTGTCAAATTTAGTCTAAATATAGGCCACATGTGCAAAGTTATTCAACAAAAATAATTTAAATTTGACTAAAATTTTTGTGTATGCCTACACAAAAAGTCACTTAAGCTGTTGGTCTAACAGTTTTACTGCAGCTTCACCTAAGAGTAAAGGTGAACTGTTTTCAGTTTTTTGTCATTCAGAATAAAGATGGCTGATTTAGAGCAGCAAAACTATAGGGTGAAAGGATGTGCAGATACATAAGTATTGGTTAGGCCAAGCAAACTAGATTAGCAGTTTCTAGCTCAACTTTTCCAAATAATCATATGGGTGAATGTTTATTATTGATTATTCATTGCCAACTTTTAAGCATAAATTTGCTAAATTGTAAGAACTTCTTCTAATTAAAGAGAATTTAGGATCATGTGATATTAGCTTCAGCAATTAGTGTAAATAATGATGCATGATACGGCTGTACCAAGTATTTTGTTTTTCCCACCATCATGCCCCAAGTTGAACAAAAAATGTGGCCTGGCTAACTAATGAATGAATATTTGCTGTAAAATTCTGATCAATGCTATAAGTGTAGCTACCAGTTTGGCTGTCAATTTTAATTTCATTCGTTTAAGTCGCACATTCAGTCCTTTTTTGGCCACACCCTTTTTTTCACACCTAAGGTGTTTTTGGTTAGATTTACTGTACAAACTGGACACTTACATTACAGATGAATAAGCTTATTAAAATGGAGTCTATTCCATAAGCTTGATTTTTGATTATTTGTAATTTCCACAGGAATTAGATGTTGAAAACCTTCAACTTCTATCCAATGAGCTTTTAGCGCACAACAATCCACGAGGCACTGTACTGGAAAGTTCTTTAGTCACATGCCAGTCTCTAAAACAGTGTTTATCCCTTCACTCTTGCTCTCCTTCTGACCTATTTTATGTTCAGAACAAGGCTTCAAGGAGTCGACTTCAAAGTGAGTTGAAGTCTGCAATTTCAAGAGCTGGAAAACAAGGAGAGGATTACCTCTTGGAGTTGACCAATCAGATTTGCTTATGCTTACAGGTGGGAATAAAAAACTTTACTGTATTCTTCATATTTAGTTAAGGAAAATTACTGTAGGCAATCTGTTTAGTAAAATAAAATCTGTAGTTCACTTATTTGGTTATTTGAAATTCCTAATTTCAATGTGTTTAGTTATAGAAAGTTATTGTATTCTATGCATACATGTCATACAAAGTTACTTTATGTGTTTAGTTGCTCAAAATTACTGTAGACAGTATGTTTGTTACATAAATTCAGTGTTTATTTAATAAACATTGCTACAGCTCATGTGTTTAATATGATAAAATACTTGTATTTCATGTTATATCTATGTGCAAATTAGTTTGTTCTAAATCACTGTTAGTCTGTATGTGTAATAATTCAAAATTATTGTATTCCATGTCTTTATTTATGCAAAATTATAAGAAAAGTATGGTCATAGGTTGGTCATGTGATAGAGATCTGGATTTCAGAGCTGGCAAGACAGGTTCAATTCTCTGCAGCAATACCACAAAATATTCCCAGCATTTTAAGCTGTGAGTACATTATAAGAGTGACAGTCAGTCCTTTAGTGTGGGTGGTAGGGTGCTGACTGGTGACATATAGCCTTAGTAGTTTTTCCTTAAATACAAATGCAAAAAAGACAAGAAAATTATAGCTACTTTGAGATATTAGCATATGATCATTATTTGCTCCTTTTAGTTAACTCTTTCACTGTGACTGCGATGTATGTTTTCCAGTGCTCCCACCCCCTTACACTGCAACAGGAGATAAATGTTTCCCATTGTCATTCAAAATTGTCGCGTATGATGTATGGGAGTAAAATGCATAGGAAAGTATTTATTTGCATCCCACCTAATGTTGATATATGGTTTCCCTCGGTGTTTTCCACTCAGCACTTCAGTAACAAATAAGATGCCTAAGCAGAATGTAAGACAACTGCATGCCCAATGTGCCTTCATCACTAGAGCAGCAAATAGTAGCCCTAATTAGTATGTAAATATGCTTGATGAATTTGACTCAGATAGCTTGGAAGATAGTGAAAGTGAGTCAAGTGGTGTTCAAATGCATGATGATGAAGAGGCAATAAGACAAGAAGATGCTAGCTCTCAATCTAGTAATGACAGTTAAGATGATGAACCTGGACCCAGCAGAGGAAGGCATAAACAGTGACAACAATGGGAACCATTTATCCTGGTCACAGTGTGAAGGGGTGGGAGCACTGGGAAATATACGTCCCAGCCGTAGTGAATGGGTTAATGCCTTTGAGCTACCACTTTGCCCAAGTAAATGTAATTAACCAGTGGTATGCAACATTTTAAATTACTTTTTTTTTTCAAACTATACTATGTTTTAGCAAGTTTTATCTCATAATATAAGTAGAATATAAAAGTTTTGTATTATAGGAATTTTGAAACACTTCTAGTGAAAAATTTTTTGAGCAAAAACAGCACTCACAACCCATAAAGAGAAAAGATCTAATAGATTTTAATGAAATAGCACCAACTGAACCTTGTAACTTAAATATAAATGTAGTTATACCAATTTTAGCCAATTACTGTTTCTCAACCTTAATTTGTCTCGGTGTGATATAATTCCCTATATCTCAGCTTTGAAATTCATAGGCTAGTGATCTAAGCATGTAATTAAAACTTTTTTTTTGTTATTTCAACTATTTAAGCCATTATGACTTCCAGTTTAGTGGAAACTCATAAAGAGATTGGAATAAAGTGATACAAGCTTACCTTGATGTTATGTATCTAGAAAAAAGATGTTTGTAAACAACTTTCATCACAGTTATAGTCCTGAATTTGTTTTAAAGCTTGTGAGAAGCTTGCTTTGTATGTTATACTTCAGTTGAATTATGATGTTCAAGTATGTTAGTAAAATAAAGTTTTTTGTGGAACAAGATTAGGTTGTGAATTGTTAGGTTAAATTGGATAAAACATTTTTCATCTGACCGTACTAAGTTATATTTTTCTGACTGTGATACTTTTTATTATGTTGTGCTGTCATTAGGCTTTATTGGCCTAGGTAACTACTTGAATGAGAAAATAATATAAAAAAAAAGAAATGTAAAAAAAATCACATATATAAATATAAAACAGTTCTAAATGTTATTAAATATATGAAATGAAACTTTCTTATTTCCAGTTGAAAAAGTTGCTTGCTTATAATTTTTGTACGATAAAGAAGCTATTTTTATTGTAGGTCAGTTGTTGTAAACATAGTGAAACTGCAGTAGCATTTTTTCAAATCAAAACAAAGACAAAGTTTTGAGCTTTAGAATAAAAACTTATTTGGAAAGCATTATAAAACTGTAAGAAGGTAAGAACCAGCAATTGTAATCTACACCAAACATATGCATTTTTAATTGTTTTTTGAAAAAAACAACAACATTTAACAAATAAAATCTTGAATTTCCAAGCTTTTCCATACAAATATCCCTTATAAACATATTTTATTTTACAGAAGCTACATAATATATAGAAATTTCATCTCTAGTTTCAAACAATTCCATCTGGTGTTTTGTTTTATTGCATGCGGTACAACAAACCCCAAGATAGATGAGTTGAATCAGCACACCTGAGTGTTTCAGAGTTATACTCGTGTACATTTTGTTTTGAATTTTATGTTTAACAGTGTTTTTTGTTTTTGTATATATGGAAAAGCCACTGTTACTTAGTGTGAGTCAGTATTAACTGTTTTAGACTTGGTAGTCTATCTTCATGAGAGGAAAATTTTAATCATCGTTTTTGAAAACAATTTTTTTTCTATCTCCGTTAAATTAGCTGGCACCAGAAAGTTTTCTATATGAGGAAATGGTCATCAGTGATGCTAGACAAACAACAGACATTTTTATCCCCAATGCTGCTTTTCTTGTTGTCTCTTGCCGAAATGATCCTTGTGCTTCTTCAAAAAAAGAGTAAGTATTTCTACATCAATATAAATCTTTGAAAATTTGTCTTATTGTTACTAGCTAATATTGTAAAGAGCTATGATCCTTGTGCTTCTTCAAAAAAAGAGCAAGCATTTCTACATTAATATAAATCTTTGAAAATTTGTCTTCATTGTTATTAGTTAATGTTGTAAAGAGCTATAATGTCTTGAGTAATTAGAGTAACTTAATAACCTAAACCTGAACTAGACAGCTCAAAAAGACAAGAATTCATCATTACTTGTAAACTTAACCATAAAATTACCTAATTTTTTTTACTACCATTGGGGTCCACATGTAATAACTGTTCCCTGGATGGAAGTTATGTAAATTCATGATTAATGAAAGGTTATCTTAAGACCTGAAAAGTTGCTTCCCTTATATGTAATTGTAAAAAATGCAAAAACATCCATACAAACTGCAAAGCACAAATGTGAAATCGCAAATTTGCATGTATCTCTGCATGGATTCAACAAACCCTCATGCCAAATTTGGTGAAGATTCATCAAAGGGAGCAAGAAGTGGTAAAAAATGCAAAAACGTTCATAAAAAGCTGCAAAATGCAAAACTGAAAATATATATGTATCTCCCCATGGACCCCTAAATACATTTCAAATGTTTGTTTTCAGTAAAACTTTATATTTTATCTGTTATTTTCTCAACCCTAGCTCTATACTAGGTTGGTCAATTTTACTGACCTCGTAACCACCAAAAAGAAATCGAAATAGATTTTAATTACCTCTCTTTTCTTTCAAGAATGACTTCAAATGGAGCATGAAACTACATTCGTTTATCCTAAGTAGTTTTAAACTCGTAACAGTATACATCTATTTATGATTAAATTTTATTGTTTTATTGCCCTTTGAACTGTGTCTAACTACTATTCGCACCGTTATAAGTTGTAAATCATTTGGGAAACGTGCAGCTCACGTTACGCTATCGAATTACATTACCCAAGAACTACTCTAAGCTGCTCGCGTGCATGCCTCATGAAATATTTTTATTGTTTATTTTACCTAATCTGACCTTAACTAACTTAGAGATCTCTATTTTTACATTTTAGTTACTTTTATACAAGTAAATAAAGAGTAAACATAAAAACAAGAAATAAAATACTTACTCAAGTATTCTTTTTTTTTTGCTGTCAATTATCAATGAAACTTAACCCTACTTTTTTATACTAGTGGTAGTAGTCCAATAAATAATTTTTATTTAATTAAATAATACATTAAATAATATAGACTAATAACATGCAAAAAGCAGACAATTTTTCTGGCTTTTTAACTATGCAACAAGAGCTGTTACAAATGCATCCAAGCTAGCTGTTGTACTTCCTGTGGGAACCAAAATTGTATTACAAGTGAAATTGACTATTCTGTGTTCAGAACACAATGTAATAGAATACATCATCTGATACATGAAAATCTTGACTTTCTATTAGTTATAGATAACATATAATTAAATGTAAGAGAGAACTATTAACAAATCCTGAAAGAGAGGATGTGACATGTGGGTGTCGCAGAAATGGTCTGATTTTCTATTTGATAGCTCTTTAACCAAACAGAATTGAAGGCTATAAAAATTATGGTTTGTTTGAGCAATGATGATTTTATAGTTTAGTAATTTATGTTTAATTTCATAGTTTCTGGGTGGGGTGGGGGTGGTGGTAGATAAAATGGAGATGAGAAGATACCTAGAGAAAATGTGTTGTGTGTCACACTAGGGGAAATTCAGGATTTTTTTTAGATATTGCCTTATAAAATTAAGAACTTAAACTTATATACTATTAGAATATGGATTATTATCTAACATTTTATACTATACTAATTGGTATAACTTAAACAAAAATAGTTTGATAAAATTTTGAATGCAAGACACTAAAACCTTATGTCATGTGCAGTAATGGATACCCAGGGCAATAGGGTTAAAAGGGTTAATATAAATTACATAGTCAAAAAAACAAAAACAAAAATTAACCTTTATTTTCAAATACAGTATGAATTATGCTTCTGCTACACATAACAGCAAATTTTTATTTTCAAGTGTAATCTATACTTTACTGCCCAAAAAAACAGAATTTTCTGAATCTTGTTTTTTTCTTAACATAATTTCAGGTCATCAACGTATAAAGCCCCATGGGCTCATGTCTATTCCTATAGTGGACCATCTATTAAAAAGAATGGACAACTTGTAAAATGGGAAGTTGTAAGTTATCCACTGGATGCTGGCACTGGCTCTCCTGGCTTACAATCTGGTCCATCTACAGTGTCTGATGTATACCCAACAGTTTTGATAGCTGGAAACAAGCTTCACCTAAAGACAGGTATCTCTCCTCCTCCAGGCATGTCTTTATTAGTGCATGGTGTCCCTCCAGAGCTACCATTAGCACTCCAATACATAGAAGTATTATTGACAGAGAAGAGGACAGAATTATCTCTCAAGCAAGAACAGAAATCTCTCATTACACCAACCATCTTGTTGAATGTAGTTGAACTCCTGGGAGGGTATCTTTGGAAATCCAACATTCCAGCACTAATTAAAGAAAGAGTATTCCATGTCTTGGCAGAGCTTTTGAGGACCTTGCAGGAATCTAAAACTCAATCAGATGACCTTTCACCTTTCTTTCCAACCTTGGGCTCCCAACTAAGCCCATCTCTCATGCTTTTAATCCAACTCCAGGCTGAACTGAAGAAACTGTATGAAGAAGAAACCAAGAACTGGACATCAAACAGTGCTACTAGTGTAACAGGTATGGCACTTGGGGCAGGAGATAGTGGCAGGTTTTCTTCTTATTTTCAAGCCTTGTTGGAGGTTTCTCTGGCTGTGGCTGAAGTCACAAGTCCCATTTCTTCTGGTTTTGCTTTTGGTGGAGGTTTATCAACTTTTGCTACAACATCTCAAACAGACCTCACTTCTGCTACTGGAACCATAGTGCCTGAAGTACCTATCAGTCCTCTGGTATCAAGTCGAAGAAAGAAGCTTAAAGCAAAAAGAGACAGAGAAAGAACTTCTCCTAGTAAAGGATCAGTTGCTTCCAAAAACAGTGATCCAGAAACTGGAGGACCAGCTTCAAGTACACAGAATGACCAAGGAGGATCTGTGGACAACATGAAGCCAGAGGATATGTTATGGTTCCATCGAGCTCTCACTGTCTCTCAGATTTTGAGACATCTCACTTACAGAGATCCCCATGGGACTTCGGTTACAAATGATGCTATTGTTGATGCTAGTCAGAATCTTCAAACTCCTACATCCCACACTAGGCTTATAGTCATCACAGGTATACCCTCTTATCTTAGCCAAAGTCAGGTTAAGAAAGCCATCAGGAAAGCTCTGAAAACCTGTGGAGGTGCTAAAAGAAATGAGATTTTTGTTCCACCTGTTGAAAAAGATTCGCAGACAAAACCTTCTGGTTCCCGACCTTCTGTCAATAAATCTAAAAATGGGTCATCTGCACAAACCAGTGGCAATAGTGGATATGCTGTGGTGGAGATACTCTCTCAATCCAAAGTATGTTCATTTTGTACCTTAAACATTTAGTGTTGTAATAGTAAACTCATACAGTTAATATTATAATAGCAGACTCATACAGTTAGTATTATAATAGCAGACTCATACAGTTAATAATATAATAGTAGATTCATACAGTTGACATTATGGTAGTATGTCGCACACAGTCAATATTATAATAGTAGACTCATATAGTCAGTATTACAATAGTAGACTCGTATAGTTAGTGTTATAATAGTAGATTCATACAGTTGCTATTATAAAAGTAGATATTGCAATAGCAGACTCATTCAGTTAGAATTACAATAGTTGGCTCTTACAGTGTATATTATAATAGTAGACTCATACATAACATATAACATAATATTTTGGGACAACACAGGACCTATTGGTCCATATTGGCTGTTCCATCCTCAAAACTAAATTAAAATGATTAAAAAAAATAAAAAAATTTTAAACCCAGCCCTTTTCATTCATATACTTATCAAGCTTTTCCTTAAACTCACTTAAATTTACTGCCTCTACAATATCTGAAGGCAACCACTATTCAAAACAAATACTCAATATATACATGGACAAATCTTTATTTTAGTTTATTAAAAATAATTCACTAAAAAAAATTGATTTTTTGTATGTGAAATACTTCCATGTGCGTGTAATCCCTAAAACCTCTTAAATAAGGTAAAACTTTAAACTTCATCTGTTATTTTCTCTACCCTATCTCAAATGGGGATTGGTCAATTTGACCAACCTCATAACCACTTAAGAAAAATAAATAAATGAATCTACATTACCTATTTTTTCTTTATAGAATGACTTCAAAATGTAACAATATACATCTATTTATAATTAAA